AGGGGTGAAATATATTATGAAGGATTTGATAGATTGCCTTTAAAAAAAGGTTTTGGTGCAGCTAAACTTCTACTAAAGACAACGGACATAATGATATCATAAAAAAAAGTCGTCAATAATGGAATTTCATTATATGTGACCAAATATCTGCAAACAAAATTGTTATAGTAATCTGGTAAAACCTAAAAATTCTCTTTTGTTCATCGAAAATATCAATAATCTTCTTATCCCAAGACATCGGATACTTTGTTCAAGTCTGGTGGATAGCTGTAGTTGTTCTTATTATATGGTCCTCGGTAATATCAGGCAAAAGTCATTAATGCAAGCAGTTTTAGACGAAATCAAAGAGGAGATATGCTTGGTTTGGTAAAGACAAATAGCCGTGGCCTGGTTGAAAATATGCAGCTTCTACTAAAGACAATGGACATAATGACATCATAGACACAACATGACTCTTTTTTCTTCTAAAAAAAAGTCGTCAATAATGGAATTTCATTATATCTGACCAAATGTCTGCAAGTAAAATTGGTATAGTAATCTGGTCAAACCTGAAAATTCTCTTTTGTTCACTGGAAAATCTCAATAATTTTCTTATACCAAGACATCCGATACTTTGTTCAACTCTGGTGTATAGCTGTAGTAGCTCTAATTATATGGTCTTTGGTAATATCAGGCAAAAAGTCATCAATGCAAACCGTTTTAGATCAAATAAAAGAGGAGATATGCTTGGTCTGGTTAAGACAAATAGCCATGGCTTGGTTTAAAATACGCAGCTTACCGAAATGTATATTGTTGTTGGGTTAATGATGTGGGAAAGACTTCTTCCCAGTACGAACTAGGGACATAGCAAGCTCACAAAAATGAGTCAGAACAGACTGAGCTAAGACTGAACATTATTCCTAGGAAAACAAACCCGTGTTAGCATGTTGCTAGCAGCCGACTGACTATAAAGTGCCTGGTGCCCAACTGCTCTGTGATCTAAACTGAACATTTTGCCCATTGGGCTCTGGACTGCATCTGACTCTGTGGAGTTAAAGGGGAGTCTGCAGGTGGATTCTCTTCTCCATGAGGATGGCAGGCTCTGCGTGGAGTTTAATGATGGATCATTTGGGTTAGAGCTCCCAGGCGATCCTTCAACAACACAACAAAAACAAATCTGATGCATTCACCTCTCTGTCACTTCAGTCAACACTCCATCTATCTTCGTGGGTTTGAAGGCTACTGCTTAGTCATAGTTTCATAGACCCCCCTGAGACTTTACATTTTTCTCAGAATACCTTCTCCGTGACATTATTTCTTCATAAATGATCAAATTGAGCATTAACTTACAACCATTTCAGCGGGAGGAGGTATGACTAATCGTGATTCACTTTAATTTGACTTCAGCCTGTAAAACTGAGAGGTGTTCCAGTGGGGAGGCCGAGGAATTAAAGTAATCTATTCAATTAGTTTAAGTAAAAGCAAAATAGATCAAACTCACAAGAGGCAATATTTAACTTTTTAAAAGACATTTCTTTAAATGACAACACAACAGGGAGGATTCAGGAGAAATCGAGGAGAAATCGCCACTGGAAAAGATGAAATACAAGATATTTCATGGGTAAAAAGATGATTTAACTAATCGTTTGGGAGCGTCACAGCATCAATCAATTAGCTCCTGTTGTCATGACCAGACTCAGTGAATATTTCCCCTTAATTCGACAATTAAACTATGATCCCTACACAGACCAGTGAGCAGAGCTGACCAACATGACATTGGGGTTGCCACCTGGGAAACTCCTCTGACCGGTGTTTAATCGAGTTGGCCCTAACCCTAACCCTAAACCTAACCCTAACCCGTGACACTTCCAGGAGGCTCCTCACACCACAACAACCATGTCTAACCACCAAAAGCCCCCTGGTGAGCTACTCCAGCCTGTTAGCAACTGTGAAAGGAGGGTGGGGATGCTAACACTGGATCAGGAAGGGGGGGAAGATAAAAGTGTCAAGGCAAACTAACAAATTTAGCAAACAAACTCATCCAAACACCAGACAAAATACGTCTAAGTACCAACAAAAACTATCTAAAAGCCTCCGACAATGATGTTTTCCTCCATTCAAAAGCTGAATAGTTACAGATCTGCAAAATGTTATCCACATAGTCATAGCACTCAGATTTGTTCCATTTTTTTTAAACTTAGAACACCAATTTAACCTTTTTGGGGGTTTAAAGGTTTTGCTTTTCGATAATGAACAAGTGAGTTCTAATGAAAAGCAAACACCTCTCCTCAGTAACTATCCGATCTTGGCATATCGGTAGTGCTTCAAGTGTCCACAAGAATTAGAAAGAAGGTGGAAAATGTCACTCAATAGTTGGTGGAATCTGCTTTACCCTGACCTACATGGATCCTTCAGACAGACAACAAAGAACGAACCTTGTCTGCACAATTCTGCCTTTTCTGGTTATAGCGACTACAGCTTTGCCATTTTTGATGCTTTACTTTTAAAAGTAAACCTACATAGCTGTTTAGGTTAGCGAACTGAGTGGAAGAACGAACCTTAACCCGAATTAGTGGAACACTAGCCACGTACGTGAGATCTCAAAGTAGGCTGTTGCACTTCTTCCAGTCCTGTTGTGACTGAGCCTTTCCCCCCAAAGGGTCCAGGTGGCTTTTTTGTCAAACTTTTAATTCAATCCTGTGATCCGGGGCTCTGATTGGCCGGTAACTCTCCCCTCGGGCTCGGCGCCGGATGTAATCAGTAAAAACCGCCTGCTGGGACGAGTGGTTGGAGTGAAAACCAGCAGACACCTCCACAGCGAGCGGGACTGGCCTCTGTTGCTCTGAAACGGTGTTAAGAGGTTCATGCGTGTGTGTGTGTGTGTGTGTGTGTGAGTGTGTGTGCGTGCGTTTGATTGGCGCAGTGTAACGGATAAAAGCTGGGTAAAATATTCAGCAGGAGATTTAATGGCCGGGCTGCAGCACGCACGGAGTCACAACTGTTCGGCTGATTTGTGCGCGCTCTCCTACCATCAATTAGCTTAATTGAAGTGTTTGAACATAATTTATTGACAGCGGGGGGCTAAGAGAGGGAGAGAGTCAGTCCAGTAGCCGGATCAGTTCAATAACTGAGATTGTATGGCAGGAGAGATGAGACTGAGGAATGTTTTATGGATGTTTGCATAAAAGATTCAATTACAGCTTTGCTCAAATGAGCTGCTAATAAGTGTATGAAGAACATTTTCACTTACATAATTGTGTTTATATTTATTGCACATTGCAATCAACTGTCTGCATTAAACTTCTAACCTCCATTTGCCATCAACATTTAAGATGGAAGTTAAATAAAGGCTGTTTTGATATTTCATACCAGAACTTGAAGTGATCAACAGCATCACAACAGTGAAGAAAATGGGTCCAAAAACACTTAAAGGGTTAAAACACTGATTTTCTTTAGCTTTGAATCTAATCCAATTCATTTTTAGCTGATATTATCATGAACTTAGTGGTTTTCGTGTTTTTGTGTTGACCAAAGTTTTTTTCTGCTAAACTGAGATTTCTCTTTTAAATCAATACAATATACAACAAAAATGATAAGAGCTTTAGACTGGTAATGAAGTCGTTTTCTTAAGAAGCTCTCAAACCAGAATGAAGGATCTGATACAGCAAAACCAGATTGAAGCAAGTACAGGCCAGGAAAAACCTGACTAAAGCTCCAGTACCCCAGCAAAACCAGACTACAGCTCCTGTAACCCAACAAAACCATACTAAAGCTCCAGTACCCCAGCAAAACCTGACTAAAGCTCCAGTAACCCAACAAAACCAGACTAAAGCTCCTGTAACCCAACAAAACCA